GACTAATAACAAGACATCAATTTTGAGATACAAGTCGCTATATTCACCTAGCGTTTGAAGGGAGAATCGCGTTCAGACGGCGTGCGCGTAATCGCTCTCGGATACAGTGTCACCGGTCAAGAAACTGTAAAATGATTCACGCGATGGTAAACACGTATCATGCAATCTGTCGGACAATCTGCCACGGAATCGATGTATTCGTACAGAAATACACTTTTTTTGCGTTAATTGAAATTTTCTGCAGATAAATTTTGAAATTCTAATTTTAAAATTTTGAGTTTGTCTTTGTCCAAAAATGATGCCAATTTGTTGAGATTCGATGCGAGAAATTTTAATGAATCGATGAAATGTAATTTTACTTGATTTGTTGATTCTTCTTCCATACAAATTTTTGGTAAACGATATATATTTTTCTTTCGTTATCGGTAATATCTCGATTCTTCCTTCGAATGCTGTGGCTATTTCCTCGATAATAAAATGCGAATCATACGGATAAATTATAAAGAATCTTTTTGTATTCCCATAGTTTTTCACAATTTATCCCCGGATAAATTGTGAAAAACTATGGAAATACAAAAAGATTCTTTATAATTTAAATTGCAATTTGAGTGTTCTGGACCTCTGTACCGCCCGGTCAGATGGCAGTGATCGCGATCGCGTGTATCGTCTTCTGCGAACGGTTTTTCGCATATGTGACATTGAGTGGCGCTATGGAATTTCTCCTACCCTTCGGATGTCAAATTTACCATATGGACATTTGTTTTTAAAATATTCTTAACGCGAATTGCTAAATTTTTAAGATCTTCGACGAATCATGCTATACAATCGGCACTATGATACGAATACACCGATAAAGATTCGTCGTATGAACAATGTACATAGTAAGCTATACTAAATACCCTATGATGTTGGTATAATTTTTGTTGTTCTTCTTCCGTCTTGGCCAGAACGCATTCCAGGTCAGCGTACACGACGAATGAAAGCCGCTCCTTCTGATTAAAGTTGTTGAACAATGGTCACTTGTCCTTATCGCTCTGTAATCGGACAGCGCAGTCATTCATCTTTCCGCAGTCGACCGTATGTGACTGCAACTTGGCGTCTGAATTAAAATAGTGTAGGCATCTGTAAAAGAAAAATTTTAATTAAAGATTTATATAACAAAGTGTATAACCTATAATTATTCAAATGATATAAATTAAACTTACCGATCACAGATATATTTCTTGATCTTTTTTGCTCAGTTGCGAGCTCACGAGCCTGGATAAATTCTTAATCCAAACAAAATGTCCAACGTTGTTGTCGTCTTTAATATACAGCAAGTTGACATGCTTGTCCCCCTTCTACTACGAAAGACGTATCGGTACAATGCTGTTCTTGTCTTCGATGCCTTACACATTTATAGAAATGTCATTAACAAGTTCAAAAGTTTTTTTATTTGGTTCACAGTCACTGGAAACTCAATATTCTGGAGATTCAGCACTGTTGCGTAATGCAGGTACGATGATTCCCGTTCCGCGTTCCTTTCGGCGGAGTATAAAGCCGGCGATCACTGCCCACGCGAAACACGCATTGTCTTTTGATTGCACGTTAACCACCGCTCTTTTCATCATACTCTTCCGCGGCAATTTGATGTGACATCCCGCGCGCATAGGATTATACTTGTTTATATTTACAGTTTAATATTCACAACAGTGCCCACCCGTTGTCCTGAATTCTTCCAGAGACGCTTGGATGGACTCGATAACGCGCCGTTCGTACCACTCACATAAATCAGATGTGCGAAAGAGTTTATAGTTTCTCGTATTGATACTTTTGTTGGCACGTTTATCTCCAGCCACAAATTCACCGAATATGTGAATATGTTCACTTTCACATTATAATGTTTTTTCATAACGTCCTGTACATGTTCCAACACAATGTCTTTGGCGTTATCGAGAAATTGGCGCGGTTTGATGTGATTATAGTTTATCACCGCACCAATCGATACGCGACTCTCGAACGCCGTATCAATCTCGTGCCACACAAGTCCATTTTGACGCGAACTACATCCGGCACCCGCCTGTATGAAACATCCGCGTACCGAATTTTTCAATCCTTCGAGGCGCGCAATTCGAGCAATTAGCGATTGTCGATTTCCGATCGATAATCGCGTTTCATCTTTAAAAAAATTCCCCTGAGTAGCGTGTGCAATTTAATCTTGAAAATTTCGCGTTTTGTCACATACATTTGAAAAATCTAACGTGATTGCATCAGTACATCGGCGCTCGATTTTAGCGCATTCAGCTAAATCTTTGTCTAGGGATGATACACATTTTAACCTTGGTGATTATTTTTTTCACGTTTTGCCACGTGCATTTGAAAAATCTAACGTGATTGCATCAGGAGCAGTCATACATCGGCGCTCGATTTTAGCGCATTTAGCTAAATCTTTGTTCTCAGGATGATGTCATCGCAGCCCTACATCGGCGCGACAAAATTTTAGAGGAAATTAAAATGTCGCGTCAGCAATAATCCTCTCTACATCGCAATTTGGGATACTATTTGAATTAATAATAATCCTAATACGATTGCAGTATTGCATCAATCGTGCCTGTGAAAGGTTCACTGCTGAAGAAATCGATATGAATTTTTACGTTCCATTCGAAACGGTGAAACTCCACCATGTAAGAAGCAAAAATATGGTACGTAAGTTTCGATTGTTTAAAGAAAAATTTGTTATTTAGCAATTATCTATTATCTTATTTTGATCTAATTATTTATATTTTATAGCATTCAGCTTCGTCGTGCGGCTCGCATACTTGGAAGAAGGTACGCTCTAACCCTAACGTCGTACAAGTATTTGGACATTGGAATAAGCGGTGGAGCTGTATCGTACGTGAAGCTGATTCTCGGCGATAATCGAGACACTCAAGTAGTGTTGCCTTTTTCAACGTGGAAACTTTTTGTTGATGCGGAAACAAGCAGACGTTGAACAATTTCTACAATCAACTGCTCTCCCATTAAGGATTGGAAATTTATTGATTGAAATGTATCAATCGAAAATTGTGAAACTCACATTATGTGGCAATTTTTTGTATATGAAACCACAAACATTATTACACTTATTTAATTTTGAAAATTGTATCGATCATATGCATAATTGGTTATGCGAGAATACGTATCTCGTGAATGAAAAATTTAAACAATTTAAAACTGTATTACAGCGTAATAATATTACTACTGTATGCGATGCTGTAAAAATGATTCGCGAGAGTGATGTTTTTAACAGTGAATCACTAATCGTGAATTACTATGTGAATTGCTATGCGCTATAAATGATATTCTTTACGATGTATGCAATAAATAATTATTTTTATTCCATCTATGATTTTATTTCTTTCCTTCCATATAAATAAGAATGGTTGAAAATTTTTCTCAACACGCTCCGCTAAAGATGTGGAGAAATGTTGAGGTAGATGAGATGTGATGCTCTAGTTGGAATGAGACAAAAGATATTAAAAGATATATGTATAATGAAGAGGAGTCTGCAGCATTAGAATATTATTTCTTTCGTTGTTCTTTGCGTTTCGTTAGTCTTGTGTGTTACGTTAGTGCAATGGCTGAAGACGATGTTATTATCATCGATGATGAAACAGATGATGATGATTGGATGGATCCAGTTGTGACGGAAAGAATTGAGATTGAGAGAGAGAGGAGAGCGAAATGGAAGAAATTATATGCGAAGAAAGAATCATTCGATAAGAAACCTGATTTCAATTTTCGGACTAGTGATGTTAAAGAATTACTTCAATATGACCGGGAACAACTTTCAAAGAAGAATCTGGAAACTTCAATCGTTCAGTTTATAAGACATCAAGAGCTCGGCTTGAAAAAACCCCGCACAAATTTGTTGAAGAGATTTCTCAAATTTCGAAAATTTTGTGCGCAACTTAAAAAATGTGATGCAAGTTCGTGTATTTACGAGAGAGATCTTAATCATACTACATTACGATGTTTTGGAAATAGACTATTGCAAATCTTGAATTACGGAAAGACACGGACAAATTCGAAGATGTGCATGTGCATGAGAATATATTACGGCATGACTTGGAAATGTTGAAGGTAAAAATATTTTTGCCAATATGTAATAAATTTAAAACATTCACAATTATTATGTTTAATTTCAGAGTTTACGAGAATATATGAATGGTCGACGAGAAGATAAACAGATACATAAATCCAAATCTGCGTAAAATTATAAATTGAGCGTATTGAATAAGGATGAGTCATAGATAACATTGTAAGTATCTTTCAATTTGTAATATGTCAAAAAATATCCTAAAATAAATGAATAAATCTAATGAAATGTGTGTCTTTTCTGTTTTAGGAGTGGCATCTCTCAGTCCGGTGCATCGCTCCCTAGTCTTCCAGAAGCGGCCTTCCCCCAACCAGACGCATCCCTCCTCATATTATTAAATATTATTATATTTTTTTGACTTCCGGTTCGAACATAAAAGTGATGACACGTGTACGAGAGACCCGTGCGGAAAGTTATAAAGTGAAGGAATAGGGAGGAGTATTGTGGCAGTGCTGGAGGGAGAGAGAGAGGTGGAGGAGGAGAGAGGAGGAGAGGAGAGGAGCAGCGAGAGAATAGAAGTGGAGGGTTAAAAAGAAGAGAAAGTGAACGGTAGGTTAGCCGGTTACCACAGAATAACAACAGTGAGGTAGAGAGGGAAGCGGGAGGGACCGCGCAAGCAGAAGACGGGTGGTAAGACCGGAGATACTAGAATCGTGCGATTGGCGGAGAATGGACAAGAGTGAGAAAGTTGCGCAGTGAAGAATCGGCGCAGCGAGGAATCGGCGCAGCGAGACAAGTGACACTAACGGAAAGAAGAGAGAAATAGAAAGACGGAATGGAAAAAGATAGGGAGAAAGTAGAGAAAAAGGAGAGCGGGGCAAATAAAAGAGAAAGACCAACAGGATTGATAACGAGAGAGAGAACATGGAGCGGAGGAATAGACATGAAATGTCTAGAGGAGTTCCTGAAGAGAAAAAGAGGGAATATCACAGAAGAGGAGGAGAGAGAGGGGGAGGCTTCTAAAAGAAGTAAATTGACAAAAGGAACACCAGAAAAAGAGAAGAAAGTAAAGGGAATAGAGGACCTAGCAGGAATAATAATAGAAATGGAAAGGAAACTGATAGAGAAAATAGAAACTTTCAAGGAAGAAGTAAGAGAGTGGAAAGAAGAACAAGAAAAGAAAGAGGCAGAATGGAAAAGAGAAAAAGGAAGAATAAGAGAAGAAATGGAAGAATTGAAACAAAGACTATATAAGATAGAGAGGGAGAGAGGAGAAGGAAGAAAAGAAACGGAAGAGGAACAAAAAGAAATGAAAAAAAGCAACATTGAGAAAGGGATCGAAACTGAGATAATAAGAAAAGGCCTGGAGATTTGGAAGGAAGAGGAAGAAAGACAAAAGAGAAGAAAGAACATAGTAATAAAAGGAGTAGACAAAAAGGAGAAGAATGTAGAGGAGACAATAAAGGAATTATGGAAAGTGATGGAGGTGTCCGGAAAGATAGAAGAGATCAGAGAATTAGGAAAAGGAAATAAAAGAGAAAAAAGAATGATATTAGTAAAAATGGAGAACAGAGAAGATAAAATAGAAATTATGAGAAAAAAATGGAAGTTAAGAGAAAGGAACGAAAAAATACAAGACGACTGGACATGGAAAGAGAGATCCATACAATGGAACCTAGATAAGATAGCTTGGAAAGAAAGAAAAAAAGGAAAGAAAGCATGGGTGAAATACGGAAAAATCTGGATGAACGAGAAATGGTGGAGATGGAATGAAGAAGAAATGAAGCTGGAAGAGGGAGACGAAGAAGAGAAGAGAGAGAGAAGAAAAGAAGAGAGAGAAATGAGAGGAATAGTGAGGACGGAAAGGGAGGTGGACAGGAACGCGGAAAAACGAGAATAAAGGAGGGGGGGGAGGAGAGAAAGGAAGAGAAAAAAAAGAAGCAGAAGAAGCAGAAGAAAGGAGACAAGAAGGAAGAGGAGGAGAGAAATAAGAAAGGAGAAAAGAAAGAAAGGAGAAAAAATAAACAAATAAGAATCTGCTTCTGGAATATAGCGGGAGTGATAAACAAAGATGAGGACACATGGAAGTACTTGGAAGATTTCGACATAATAGGATTAGTTGAGACTTGGATGGAGGAAGAAAAATGGAGGAGGATAAAGGATAGGTTGAATAAAAAATTTATATGGAAAAGTATAGCAGCGAAAAGAGAAGAGAAGAAGGGAAGAGCAAGAGGAGGGATGTTAATAGCGGTCAAAAAAGAGATAGAAGGAGTAAAGGTCAGAGAAATTAACAAAAGAATAGCAGAAATAGAATTAATAAGAACCAAAGAGAGATGGAGAATATATGTGATATACAGCCAGAAAATAGAAGAAACGTTGGAAGAATTAAAAAAGGAAATAAAAGAAGAGGAGGAAGAATACTTGTTGATAGGAGGAGACTACAACGCAAGAACGGGTGATGAAGGAGGACCAATATATGGAATGGAAAAGGAGATAGAGACAAGGAAATCAAAAGACAAAGTGATAAATAAAGAAGGAAGAATACTAATAGAGACGATGAGTGAAAGAGGATGGATGATAATGAATGGAAAAGGGGAGGAAGAAGGAGGATGGACATATATAGGAGAGAGAGGAACATCAGTGATAGATTACGTAGTGGCAAATGAGAAGGCCGCACAAGAGATAAAGACGGTGAAAGAAGGATTAAGGACAGAATCAGACCACATTCCATTAGAGGTGGTAATAGAAGGAGAAGAAAGTGAAAGTAGAACAGAAGTAAAGGAGATAGAAATAGAGAGAAGTATATGGAATGAGGAAGGAATTGCAGAGTTTCATAATAGATGTGAAGGGTGGATATGCAACAAGACAGAAACGGAAGAAATCTGGAAGGAATTGGAAGAAAAGGTAAGAAAGGCGAGAAAAAGAGAAAAGAAAATAATAAAACCCTGGGGAATGGGGAGGAAAGAATGGCACAGCAAAGAATGGAAGGAGAAAAAAAGAGAAATAAGAAGAGAAATGAGGAGGTGGAAGAAAGGGAAAATAGACAAGGAGGAGTATATAAAGAAGAGAAAAGAATATAGGAAATGATGTGAGAAAGAAAAAAAGAAACATAGGGAAGAAGAAGAAGAGGAAATCAAAAAGATAAGGACAGAGGAGGAAGCATGGAAATTTATAAACAAATACAGAAAGAGAAGAGAAAAAGTAGACGAAAACATAGAGGTGGAAAAATGGAGGGAATACTTCATGGAGCTACTGGAAGGGAGCAGAACAAGGTTAAAAAGAAAGGAAGAAAAAGAAGAGGAAGAAGAGACGAAGACGGGAGTAAGGAAGGAAGAAGGAAACGAGAAAGAAGGAGAGATCACAGACGAAGAGCTAATAAATCAACTCAGGGAACTAAAGAAGAAAAAAGCGCCAGGAGAAAATGGAATAGAGAACGAAGCATGGAGACTGATGCCAAAAGAGATAGGAGAAGTGTTGGCAAAAATGATAAAGAAAATATGGAAAGAAGGAGGCATACCGAAAGACTGGAATAAAGGGGTGATAAGTCTGATATACAAGAAAGGGAAGAAAGAAGAAATAAAGAATTACAGAGGGGTAACGCTGATGGACACGGCGTACAAGATATACGCAAATATATTGAATAAGAGATTGAAGAAGGAAGTTGAAGAAAAACTAGGAGAAAGTCAATTTGGATTCAGAGAAGGAAGAGGAACAATGGACGCAGTGTATGTGTTGAATTATGTAGTGAACAGAGAGATGACGAAGAAGGGAGGGAAAATATTTACTTTCTTCGCGGATTTGAAGGCAGCATTTGATAAAGTGGATAGGAAAAAAATGGAAGAAGGGCTAAGGAAAATGGAAGTAGGAGAGAGATTGAGAAACAGGATAATGGAAACATACAAAGAAACCAGAAGCGTAGTAAGAGTGGGAAACAAGAAATCAGAAGAATTTTGGACAGGTTGTGGGGTAAGACAAGGATGCCCGCTAAGCCCAATGTTATTCAACATATATATAACAGATTTAGAAGAAGAGATGAAGAAGGAACAGACAGGAGGAGTAGTTGTAGGGAGGGAAAAATTTTGGACTATAACGTATGCAGATGACATAGTGTTATTAGCGAAGAAGGAAGAAGAGTTGAAAATGATGATAAGAAGATTTAAAAGATACCTGGAGAAGAGAAGACTAAAACTGAGTACGGAGAAATCGAAAGTGCTGGTATTCGAGAATGGAAAGGGAAGGAAAAAAAGAAGAGAATGGAGATGGGGAGAGGAAGAGATAGAAGAAGTAAAGGAAATTAGCTACTTAGGATATGTAATGCAGAAGAACGGAGGATCAGAGAAACACATAGAGGAAAGGATGAGAAGAGCAACAATAGCGATGAAAAACACGTGGAGCATAGGAGAGAAGCTGTTCAAAGAAGATTTTGAGAGAAGAATGAAAATATTTAAGGCACTGGTAGGAAGCATAGCATTGTATGGGGCAGAAATATGGGGATGGAAGAAGGAAGAAAAAATAGAGAGGATAAAGAGAAAGTATATAAAATGGATATTAGGATTGGATCACAGAACACCAAATTACATAGTAACAGAGGAAACAAAGGAAAAGGAGATGGGGACAGAGGCATTGAAAAGAGCGATAAGATATGAAGAGAAAGCAAGAGGGTCAAATAAAAAAATAGTGATAGAATGCATAAAAGAGGCAGAGAGAGAAAGAATAAAGAAGGAAGAAAGTAAATGGGAGAGGAAGAGGAGAGAGAGGCTAGAAGGATCAGGCATAAGCAAAGAAAGGAGAGAAAGAGTGAGAAGAGAATGGAGGAGAAGAAGTAAGTAGAGAACTAATAGAAAAAATAGAAAGGAAAGAGAAAGAAGAAAGATGGAGAAAAGTTAATGAATCAAAAAGTAATAAGATATATAAAGAAATACTTACAGAAGAGAGACCGGAATACCTGAGAGGAAGAAGGAAGAAGAAGGAGAGAATTACGATAGCAAGATTCAGATGTGGAAATGAGATAAAGATGGGGAGATATTGGGAGAATGAAGAAGAAAGGAGATGCAGAATATGCGGAGAGAAAGAAGAGGATTGGATACACATATTGAAGGAGTGCGAAGCGACAAGGGAAGAGATAGGGATCAAAGATTTAATGGAAGGAAATGGAGGAGGCTACGAGACGATGAAGAGAATCAATGAAAGAAGAGAGGTGAGAAGAGGGACGAAAGAGGAAGAAGAAAATAAAATTAGTACACACGCACAAACACATAAACACATACACACACAGACAAACACATTAACAGTAAACAAAGAACAAATGTAAAGTACTGGAGGTGCCTCCTAAGCCGAAAGGCAAGGAGTACAATAAATAAATAAAAAAAATTATATTTTTAAAATGTTATATTTTATTATTATATTCTTAATTTTAAATACACACATACACATTTTAAATAAATTTTATGTTATATATTTAAAAAAAATTGAAGTTATTTACCCGTCTCTCCTTTGCGCTACCATCCCTTGCGCTACCTCTCTCGCGCGCTAGTTATAAGTATCGCGATATCGTTCTCTCTCACGCGTTAATCATAAGTCTCTCTTTAGTATGCGTTCTCTCTCGCATTGTTCTTGCAATATCGTTCTCTCTCGCACGCGTTGTCTTAGAATAAGTATAATAATTTCTCTCTCGCGCTGACACAGAAAAAAAATGTAAACAGATTTAAATAAATTTTATATTTATAATTGAGAAAAAAATCTAATTATTTACGCGTCTCTCTCGCGCTAGTTATAAGTCTTTAGCGTTGTCTCTATCACACTCGTTCTTGTAATATTGTTCTCTCTCGCACGCGTTGTTCTTGCACTATTGTCGTTCTAAGTCTCGCGATATTATCATTCTCTCTCTCGCACGCGTTGTTCTCGTTTTCTCTCCTTCATATACTCGTTGCTCACTTACCTTTGCATTGTCCTTCTCACGCCATCTTACATTGCGTCGTCCTTGTCCCACGTTAACGTCGTCCTTGTCGCACGTTGATGCCATCCTTGTCGCACTGTCCTCTTCACACACTTAGCGCTATTCTTTTCCCACACATAGCGCTGTCCTTCTCACACCTTCGCACCGTCTTCTTTCCGCGGTCCCCCTTCCCTGCACTGACCCCTTCGTCCATCGATCGCGCCGCGGATCCCCCTTCACCTCGCGGTCCCCTTCGTCCATCGGTCGCGCCGCGGATCACCCTTCCCCGCACGTGACCTCACTCACCGAGCGCTGCAGTTCCTCCTTCCCCGCGCGTGACTCCCCCGCACCGCGGTTCCCCTGGCACCTCACCTTCCCTAAGAGGACCTGAGTAGGGACAATCCCATGCGGGCGGGATGCTACGTGCGAGTACCGCGAGAGATTCAGACGAAGAGAGCGGTGATCAACGTGCGATCCGACGACGAGGCGTGTTTCGCGTAGTCTGTGGTCGCCGCTCTGTATCCCGTCGATAAGAATTGCGAGAGAAGCTCGTGATATCCGCATTACTCCGCGGTGTTGAATCTGGAGGGCTCGAAGTTACCTGACTCTGAACAGAATCGGACGGTTCGAGCGTCTGAACGGTATATCGATGAACGTGTACACCATCGGAGAGAGACGATGCGGGAAGGGCGGCAGCGGCGGCGGAATTCGCATCGTCCCTCTTCGTCTGACGGATCGAAAGAGGAAAAGACACGTCAATCTGCTGTATCTGAGCGATGCGACGCGCGAGGGTAACGCGGTCGGACATTTCGCCTGTATCCGAAATCTGTCTCGTCTGGTCAGCTCGCAGTTGAGCAAGCACAGGACGCACATGTGCGATTGGTGAGCGTTCGATCTCGACGAGAGAGCGAAATATCGATCTAACGTTTATTCTTTATTTTCTCAGATGCATGCATTACTTTCGC